CCCCAAAACCCCAAAACCCCAAAACCCCAAAACCCCGTAATGACGAAATGTACAGTTTTTTTAAAAAAATATTTTGATATCTTATAGGAATTAGCTATAATTTATTTTAAGATTTATTTATATTTTTGTCATCTTTTGATAGCCGTGAATCCAATTGTGAAAGGATCTGCAATTAAATCCTTAAAAAATTCTTCCTATTTTCTAAGATCATCTGGTAGGGCATGGCGAATGAACTTGAAATCGGTGAATCCAACTTGGTTAAATGCTTTGTTGAAGCTTGATGAGGAAGTGTAAAAGGTAAAAGAGTCTAGAAGAACCTCTCCATTCTCAATATCTACAAGTTTGTGAGGAAGTACATCACCGTCCTTTAAAGGTAATGAAGGAATATCAAAAGCAATTCCATACTTTGAATGCTGTTTACCATCACTCTTTGGTACAAAAAAGGGATTCATTTCTAGCCCAATAAATCTGCTGTTTGGTTTCAAGACATCGTACACATTTTGCACGAATTTTAACAGTTTTTCAAAATTGTCAGCATAACTTAGAAGAAAAGATGAAACAGCAATGTTAAATTTAGGAAGCTATTCTGGATTAAGCTCTGCACAATCAGAAACCAAATAATGAATGTCGCCTCCAAGTTCAATTGCGGACTAGATCATCATCTTCTGAATATCTATTCCGTAGACTAGTCCTGATGTCTTCGCTCTGATCATTCATGTGAAGTGCCCTGTTCCACATGCTAGATCAAGAATGTCTTCCGTTGAAATATCACCGAGAATTCTTTTGAAGAGAGCATCGTCAGTTTTTCGAGCAGGGGCTTAGGCCTTAGACTTGTTGTAGGCAGCGATCTAGTTATTCTTGTAGAAGCTGTTATCTTTCTTAGTTGCTTAGAACACTAAGAGATCCTAGTTGAATGAGAATTCCTCAATCTTTGAGCCATCTTTTGCTAGAGGCACAACTGTGGGAATCCATTTGAAGTCTTCAAAGCCGACCTTTCTGAAAATCTTCTCAATTGTTTCAGTTGTGTAATAGAAGTATTCTATCACAACTTCTTTGCCAGCTTGATGATTCTGAATCTAGAAGATGAGACGTTTACCATCAGAATCGAAGCCGCTGGATTCCATGTCAAAGATTACGCCTTCCCTCTCCTGAAATACCTCAAGATCTTCCTAAGATAAAGCAGCAGTAGTCATTCCAATCACTATGCCTTTGGGATTCAGGAGATTATACATTGCTCTGACCATATCTTCATACATCTCAACCGATTCAGCATGGTCTAGCAAGAAGGAGCTACTCACTATATCAAACTTCTTGATGATATTAAGTTTCTCACTCAAGTCGCAATAGGTGAATACTATATCATCTTTCCCTTTTATTGCAGCTTATTGCCTAGCAAGTTCTATCATATCGATGCTTTAATCCATTCCCCAGACTTCTCCGTTTGTGAGGCCTTTGTAAAATTGCGTGAAATGCCCAGCACCACAAGCGAGGTCCACTATATCCTCAGAGTCAAGCTGTCCGAGACAAGATTAGAAGGTTGCCTTCCCAACTGCTCTGGGTCTTGCTAGACCATCAAGACTATCATAACATTTTGGAACTCCATCGCCATCATATTGGGATTATCCCATGTTCATTTTTTCTTTAGAGATTAGTTTAATAAGCTGGAATTGCATTTCACCCACTGGTCTTGTGTAAACTATTTGAGGAAGAATCGATCGATCCTTAAATATAGTTTGTAAGTCTATAGATTATTATTCAAACCACATATAGCAATTTCCACTATCAGTAAGCATGTCTTAAATATTATATATTATGGCAGAAATATCCAATTTCAAAATATCTTCACCCAGTTCCTTAAGATCTCAATAAACTATAATAGTTTCATATGTTTTCGAGTTAATTTTATCTAGACCCAGAGCTTCTTGATACGTCTCTTGTGAGAAAAGCTGGATTTCAACATCAAAATTTTTAGAATTCAGATGGAAAATATAGTCATCAATATTGGTTTTGTCTTTTTATTCTGTAAAAGAAAGACCTTTTACCTATTTATTGTTTATTAAAATAAGGAGCAGCCTTCCCTTTATTTAAACTGGCAAATTTCTCAGCTGTTCAAACGTTTAAAGACATTCTGAGGAATCTTTGCTCATTTAAAAATGTTCCTTGAACAGCTGAATGCATTTTTGTTACATTATATTTTTTAGTTGTCGAGGATTATAGATCAAATATACTTTATTCCGATTTTTTTAAAACTTTAGATGATGGGGTTTTGGGGTTTTGGGG